TTTTTTCATCTGAAGACTTTCTGAAAGAATAACAGAGCCTTTAGCATCTGCTGTGCGTCTTGTCTGCCCTTCCCATCTCTGCCTACCTGACTGGAGTGGGAGATTTAGGTGCTTCAGCACAGAGGGACCATGGCACCTCTTGTATTTACCCATTTTCCTCTTCAGCACAGAGCCCTGCAAATGCCCACACCTGTCAAGCCTTCACCACACCTGTCAGGGCTGCCTGCACTTCAGCTGGTTCCCTGCAAATACTCACTGCTTCCAACCTGGAGAGCTGCTGTCCACACCTTGAGCATGCCAAGCTCATAAGCTTGGTATTAATTTCCTAGAGATGCTGTAAGGCATTACCATAAGCTTAATGACTTAAGAAAAACAAAATTTATCCTGTCCCAGTGCACGAGGCCAGAAGTCCAAAAGCAAGGTGTGAGCAGGGTGGCTTTCCTCCGGGGGCACTGGAAAGAATCCATCCTGTCTCTTCAGCTTCTGATGGAGATGTTGGTTTGTGGCTTACATAACTCCAGTCTCTGCCTCCATCTTCACCTGGCCTTTCTCCATCTACCTGCCTCAGATCAGCCTTTCTCTTATAAGAACATCTGTCGGGCTGGAGAGTTGGCTCAGTGGTTAAGAGCACTGGCTGCTCTTGCAGAGGACTTGGGTTCGATTTCCAGCACCCACATGGTGGCTAGCAACCATTCATAGGTCCAGTTCCAGAGGATCTGATGCCCTCTTCTGACCTCTGCAGGCATTGCATGACATGGGTGCACTTACACACATGTAGGCAGTACATTCATGCACATAAAAATAATTTTGAAAAGTTTTTTTTTTTTTTTGTCTTTTTGAGACAGGGTCTCCCTGTAGCCCCAGCTGTCCTGGAAATCACTATGTAGACCAGGCTGGCCTTGAACTCAGAGATCCGCCTCCCAAAAAGTTTTTTAAAAACAACATCTGTCACTGGATTTAGATGGGCCAACCCTAAATCCAGCATGCAATATGATTGTATTTCTGAAACTTTAATTACATCTGCAAAGCCCTTCTTTCCAAATAATCTCACATTCATAGGCTCTTGGGGTTAGGACCAGGACATATTATGGAGGGGGCACAATTCAATTCACTAAACCATGTGCACCTTGAGGATAAGGCATGAGCCATCATCAGGACTCAGGATATATGGGCTGAAAGAACACTCCTCTAGATCTAGGTGTGTTTCATCCTGTGAAGTTTTGCCTGGACCTTTCTGACATCCCAGTGAGATCTGAAATGATCTGACCTCTTTACCCTATTTGGCTGTGGTAGTGGCTCACAGCCTCAGGGCCATCCACAACCCACTTACTTTGGCAGATGGCCACTCCAGTTTTCAAAAAGATATGAGTTAGGTCATTGCTTTCCATTTTATAGATACGGAATCTGGTTATAAAATTTGCAATTTGCCAGAGTCACACAGCTAGTAACTGACAGGGCTAAGATGTGTACTGAGATCTGGCCCCAGAGTCTGATAACACTGTGCTTATATAGGACTGAGTGTCAAGCCAGGGTATCAAGTATAGATCCCACTTTTCCTTCAGCACCATTACTGCTTCCCTCTGGTGATGGCCACTTAGTGATAACTCATTGGTGGCACAAGAGTGGCACCCAGTGGCTTCAGCTACAAACTACATGATTGAAGTGACAGGTCAAGTTCTATCAGTGGGCCAGTCCCTTCATTTCCATGGTAGACTAGCTGCCCTCGTGAGTATCACAGAATAAAACTACCGACAGATTAAGGAGAAATGGAAGAAATAGACTATTTATGCATGTATGTATAAAGTATATCCAGAGAAAGGCCATGCAGCAGAGGGAATGTTAAGTCTGGGTATTAGAACAGACTGGGCATGAAGGAGTAAAGAAGAAAGTGCTTTGGGGCCTAATGCATCTGTCTGCAGGGACTGAAGAATTTAAACCCAGAATGAGCCAGGTGGATAACAGAAGGCATTGCTTACCTGGGTGTAGACTAGAATTAAATGACCCATAATCCTAAATCCAAGGAGCTGTATCCAAGGACCAGGCTTCCTCTTCTGGGGGCCCAGATGAAAAGGGGTGTGTGAGGCTCTCAAAGTCCCCAGAGAGAACCCATCTCAGGTGGGTTTCAATTCGATTTCAAAAAGGAGAGAGACTTATCTATTATACCAGATTCTCCAGGCTAGAGAGCTAGAGAATTGAAGGTGGGGTGGGTGAGCTTTCTGTCAAAGAAGAAAAGATTTGGAAATTTTTCAAATACTGTTTCTTTACCCTCTGTTCCAAATACCCAAAGCACTGTTTCTTTAGGGCCATCTTTGCTGCCTGTATGTCCCTTCTAAAGTAATTACTTAGAAATTGAAACTTTTTTTTTGAGACAAGGTCTTACTATATAGCCCTGGCTGGCCTGGAACTCACTATGTAGAACAGGCTGGACTCGAACCCACTCATAGAGCTCTGCCCGCCTCTGCCTCCCAAGTGCTGGAATTAAAGACATATGCCACCATGCCTGGCTGAAACTTGTTTTAATAAATGACATATTACAGAATATTTTATTGTGATGTAATTCTCATCTAAGATTTGCCTTTTTTTTTTTCTGTCTTTTTGAGACAGTGTCTCCTGGTAGCCCCAGCTGGCCTCGAGATCTGCTGGGATTAAAGGCATGGGCCACCATGCCCAGCTAAGATTTGCCATTTTAAAGTGTACAGCTTGGTGCTTGCAAGGATAGTTACCATCAAATTCCAGAACATCTCTCACATCCTGTACAATGGGGCTGCAGCTGGCCACAGCTTCCTGCTCCCAACCCACTTTCTCCTACCTCGACCTTCTTTCACTTTCTTTATGGTGTTCACTGAAGCAGAAATTACAGGTTTTTTGGGTTTTTTTTTCCCCCCCCTCGGAGACAGGCTGGCCTTCATCTCCCTATGTAGCTGCGGATGATCTTGAACTCCTGATCATCCTGCCCTCACCTCCTGGGTACTGGGATTACAGGGATGTGCTACCATGAGTGGTTTTATGTAGTGTTGAGCACTGAGCCCAGAGCTTTTGTGTATGCTAATCAAGCACCCTTGTTATTCTTTTAATATTTTATTTTTAATTATGTGTCTGTGTATGGGGGTATACATGTGAGTTCAGGTGCCAGAGGAGACCAGAAGAGGGTATTGTGTCCCCTGGACCTGAAGTACAGGTGTTTGTGACTGTTTGATGTTGGTGCTGGGAACTGAACCTTGATCCTCTACAAGAGCAGTAAGCACTCTTAACGACTGAGCCATCTCTCCAGCCCTCTTCATTAATTAAAAAAAAAAAGAAAAAAGAAAAAAACTGTGGGCTGAAGAGATGGCTCAGCAGTTAAGAGCACTGGCTGCTCTTGCAGAGGACCTGGGTTCAATGTCCAGCACCCTCATGGTGGCTAACAACCATCCATTAACTCCAGTTCCAGGTGATCCAATGCTCTCTTCTGACTCTGTGGGCATTGTACGACACAGATGCACTTACACACACGCAGACAATATGCTCATAAACATAAAAATAATAAAATATTTTTTTAAATTTTGAGATGGGGGTCTTGTGTGTTCTGGACTAGCCTTGAATTCTCTATGTAATAGGATAACCCTGAAGTTCTGATCCTTCTGTCCCCACTTCCTGAGTGCTAGAATCTTGAAAAGGAAAAATGAAGTGCTGGGAGGATTGGGCTATGGTCTTAAATAAGTACCTTTCTTTCTCTGTCCAGATTGGACCAACCAGTGTGGCCAAGTTCCAAAAGCTCCACAGGACAACACAGTGTGGACTGCAGCTTCCCAGCTGATGCAGTCAGTCCTTTATTGAGCACTTATTTCTTTTTTGTGTAGAGCTCTGTGACCTCTCTAAAGAGATGGAAACTGGGGGAGAGGGGTCCTCGAGAGATGGCTCAGCGGTTAAGAGTGTACTGCTCTCCCAGGAGACCCAAGTTCAGTTCCCAGCACTCATGTCGAGTGGCTCACAACCTCCTGTAACTCCCCCCTCCAGGGGATGACTTCCTCTTTCCGCCTCAGTGGGCACCTGCTTTATATGCACATATCTCCACACAGGCACAGATAACAGACACAGACACAGCACTAAAAGGCTCTGAAGTTAAGAGAGCTGGCTGCTGTACTAGTTTTGTCAAATTAGAGTCACCTGGGAAGAAGGAAACTCAGGAATTTCCTCCATGACTGGCCTGTGAGCATGTCTATAGGCATTTTCTTAATTGATGGTTGATGTGGAAGGGCCTAGGCTACTATGCGCGATGCCATCCATGGGCGGGTGGTCCTGGGTTGTACAACAAAGGTAGCTGAGTGAGCTATGGGGAGCAAGCCAGTGAGCAGCGCTCCTCCATGGTCTCCATCTGCTTCAGCTCCTGCCTCGAGTTCCTGCCCTGACTTCCCTCAGTGATGGACTGTGACATGGCAGTGTTAGCCAAATAGACCTTTTCTCCCCAACTTGCTTTCTGGTCATGGTGTTTATCACAGGAACAGAAACCAAACTTTAGGACACTGCTCTTGTAGGAGATCCAAATTTGGGGCTCGGCACTCAATCACATAACTCCAGTTCTAGGTTATCCTACACCTTCTTCTGGCCTCCACAGGCACCAGGCATGCACATATACACATGAACATTTAAAAATCCTTTTTCTTAAAAAAAGAAAGAGGTGGAGCATGAGGAATCTTACCTTCCAAGGGATTTAAGGCGTAGGAAGACAAACACATGCACATAAAAAGAACAGTGCTTTGCACAGCACACTTCCAACCGAGTAGGGCAGGTGGTAGGCAGGTGTCTGGAGTTCAGGGAAGTATGGGGTGCTGGGAATGGCAGGAGTGAGCTGTACGAAGGTCCAAGGACACCTTGAAGGTCAGAGGCAGGGAGGGAATTCATGAGCTAGGAGGAAGAGAAGTTCAGAGGAACACATCTGTGAAATCAGTTGTCATTGGGCACATACCTGTTTCACTAGGACTCAGACTTCTGCAAAACTCACTCAGGGCTTCTTTTTTAAGCAGCTGACCCCTGAGAAAAAGGATTCAGCCCAGAGCATTGAGGACACATGTGAGAAGAGCCTGGAATTCCTTGCAGGTAAGGCTTTATTTAGCTTTTTAGGTAAACCTGGGATGAAACCCAAGAAGTAAAAATCCTGGCTTCAAGTGTCCCCACTGCACTTCTGGCCATAATGACACCTTCTAGGATTTGGTCTCCACTGCTGTTGTGTGTCTTGAGGCGCAAAAACAGAAATTTCCTCTTAAAGCTGCTTAACGGGGTGGGACTGGGGGATCTGTAGTATAGGTACTTGTTAATGTGCACAAAGGTGTGTGTAGGCCAGCTGCTGACATTGGGTGTCTTTTTTTGTCACTCTCTGGTATGGTGAAAATATGTGAATTGCAGAAGAGTCAAAATCCTTCTTAAGAAAGCACTATACAGGGCTGGAGAGAGAGTACAGCAGTTAAGAACACTATTCTTGTAGAAGACCCAGGTTCGAATCCCAGCACCCACATGGCAGCTAACAACTGTCCATAACTCCAGTCCCAGGGGAATCTGACAGTCTCTTCTGTCCTCCTCGGGCATTGCATGACATGGGTGCACTTACCTACATGCAGGCAATACACACATACACATTAAAATATTTTTTTTAAAAAAGCACTATAACCATCTGGGCATGCTGGTGCACGCCTTTAATCCCAGTGTTTGGGAGGCAGAGGCAGGCAGATCTCTCTGAGTTGAAGGCTAGCCTGTTCTACATGGTAAATTCCAGGTCAGCTGGGGCTACAGGAAGACCCTGTCTCAAAAAGACAGAAAAAAAAAAAAAGTAAGCACTATAACCATAAGTCCCTTAAAAAGTTTAACTGGCCTAACTTGGCAGCCTGGCCTTGCTCAAGCCTTATCAACTGGTCACTCCTGGACAGAGAGACCATGGAGCCCACCTGTCTCCTTTAGGGGTATAGGTAACTTGCCCATCTGCCTGAGCAAATAATTGTCAGAAGAGACCCCCAGGACACCAGACCCTGGCACGGAGTTAACTCTTGCAGTTGTTCCTATATAAGACCAGACTCTTCCCTCTTCAGTGCACAGATAATTATTCCTCAAAGAAAAGTTATCAGCCCTTTGCCAGGGAGAACATTCTGGGTCTAACTCTTATTTCTAAACTTCGAATTCCTTCCTTTTTCTGTCCTCCTAAATCTAACACTCTCCACCTTTATATTCACTAGGCAATGAGCTTTAAGGGTCTTCCTGTCTCCACTCAGACAGTGCTGCAGTTACAGGCATGTAGCACTGTGCTCAGCTTTTTACAAGAGTTCTGAAGATCCTAACTCAGGTCTCCATCCTTGGACAGCAGGCACCTTACCCATTAAGTCCTCTCTCCAGCCCAGATCTAGAACATCCTAGTAGTTTGTTCAATTGCTAAGAGCTGCATGTGATCTGACGAACGGGTAACTAGTGAGCAAATCCAGGGCACTGAGCACAGCCAGTCCTTCACAGACGCCCATCATGTGTGGCCAATGCAGCTCTCCCTTGTTTGGGTTTCTGTGCTGGGCTTGGAGGCTGCTTCTGGGTGTAGACACTGCCTTGACCTGACTTATTTCTAAATTTTAAACTCCTTTTTTCTGCCCTCCTAAATCTAACACTTTCCACCTTTATACTCCTGAGATGCCAATGAATGTGATGTGATGGCAGTTACATCAAAGTGTTTTCTTCATTTTTGCCCCCACCACAGTTCAGGCTGAACTCAGGCACTCAGGCTTGGTGGCAAGAGCCCTTACCCCGAGCCATCTTGCCAGGCCTAGTCTGGAGCTTTTAAAATATACTAATGTTCTTAGTTCTCAAAGCAGTCTTAAGAGGTAGAGGTAGTATTATTTTCATTTTACAGAAGAGGAAAATGAGGCTCAGAGATGGCTGTAAACTTACCCAGGGTCATGCAACTAGTAAATGACAAAGCTAGAATTCAAATCCAGGCAGCCTAGGCCTTCTCTATGTCTGAAGAGCCAAGTTAACAGTGATGCCCCTCTGGGGCCTGAGTCTTTGGACAAAACAGTATCTGGACTTGAGAGAATTTGGGGGCTGTGGCTTCAGCTCCAAGGCTTTGTTGGAAAATCCTTTTCAGAGTTATGGCTGCAACACTCTGCACACTGTACCTAAGATGTGTTCCTGAACCACTCTCATCTAAGCCATGTTTACATGTTACACAGCCCACTGCTACTGAAAAGAATTATGCAGGGAAGGCTTGTATAATCTATTTTTTAAAAAGATTAGGTTTGGCTGGGCATGGTGGTGCATGCCTTTAATCCCAGCACTTGGGAGGCAGAGGCAGGCGGATCTCTGTGAGTTCGAGGCCAGCCTGGTCTACATGGTGAGTTCCAGGACAGCTGGGGCTACAGGGAGACCCTGTCTCAAAAAGACCAAAAA